GGCAAAGCGGTACCCGTAGTCCGGCACGTACGTGCCCCCGTTAGCCGTGCCCATGCCCGTGGAGAACACATGATGGAGTACGTCATTGGTCCGGCCCGGTAAGTGCAATTCCCTGAACCGATATACATGACCGGTTGCCTGTACGTGCTGTTCCTATACGAGACCAAATAAAATTGTGACACCATGCAAATACAAAGTGCAAGTAGAACCCTGCTCTTTCCCTTTTTCTGCGGGAAAACTACCGTTCTACTCACTTTCGATCATGCCTACAATGAACACTAAAAAAAAATCAGATCCATAGACTATCTAGCGACGACTACAACTATAGAAGCGAGCTGAGGGTGCGTCGCCGTCATCGCCTTTCCTTGCCGGAGATGGGCAAAATTTGTTGTAGTTGACAGTCAAAAGGTCGTCATGCGAAGATGTGAAGGCCATGTAGGACTAGTACACGAGGACAACAACCGTTGCCGATGAAGAATATCGCAGATTGAAAGGATCTGATCTGAAGACACATGAACCTAGACGGACGACAACTAGATCCGAGCAAATCCATCAAAGACAGATTCGTCGAAAACACACCTCCAGACCTCCACCGGCGATGCTAGACACACCATCAAAACGCGAGCTAGACGGGGAATATATTATTCCATCTTCATAGAGCAGCCGCCATCTCGCCTTCCGAGCAGGACACAAGTAGTAACAGAAGTCGAAGAAACATGTAAAAACGAAGGCCTCCCACCGGTCAGGACTACATCCACCGCATCCCGTGATCTTAATGCCACCGAAGACGAGGCGGACCGGTCACGACACCGACCTGGAAGGCAGAGGAACCTTTTCTTTTGAGAGAGAGAGAGAGAGAAGGCGGCTGCGTGGTAAGCCCAACTCCACCGTGCGACCCCATCCTGCCCGGCCCCGTCCGTTTGGGGTAAAAGGGACAAACCGGACGGCCCAGCGCGCGGGAGCAAACGGACTTTTGTCCATTTTGTGTCCGCTTTTGACCCATCCCCGGCCCAAGTTTGTGCCGCTTTTGGGGTGAAACGTACACCACGCGGACGCGCGACCGTCTGCGCGTGTCTTCCTCTGGCCCGCCCGTCGGTGGCACGGGGCGGGCCTTTTTCTATCTGTCCCCCTCCCTTCCTCCGGCCGCACCCCCCTCCACTCTTCCCCACCACTCTTCCCCACTCTTCCCCTCGCCGCCGTCGCTGCCATTGCAGCCGTGCAGTTCGGACGCGCGCTAGCCCAGCCCCTTCCCCTCGGCGCCGCCGAGCTACCCAACCACGACCACCTGGTTTGCGGACCCGCCGGCCGGATTTGGGGCGGATCCAGTCAATCTTGAGCTCTCACGGGTGTGGGAGGCTGGGCCGCTCCATGGACTGGCCGGACACCTCGCCGGAAGGCCCTGACAGGGCCGCAAGGCCACATGCAGGCAGTGGCTCCTCCTCTAGCCGCTCGGATCTGCACCGTCGGTGGTCCGCCGGCAGATACACGAATGGCAGTCGGCCGGGCTCGGTGCTTGCCCAAAAGCTCATCGGTGCACTGTTGCCACTCATTACGTGCGACCACTGCCCAAGGATGGTCGTGCGTCGCGTGTCTACAACGCCGGAACATCCCGGATGGGTGTTCATCAAGTGCTTGAACGATGGGGTATGTGCTCTTTTTAGCTTCGGTTTGTGTTCTAGATTTGACTAGTTGTGCTAACTTCAAATTTTATTGCGTGGCACGGATGCACGTTTTTGTATTGAGAAAAAGAGTACATCGATATATTGATAGAGTGAAATTTAGTACATGTTTGTGCACTTTTAGCTAGCATAGAGGTTGTAGATGAGACAAATGCACTTGTTGCTAGATTAGAGGCCAGACACGAGACTAGGTGTGAGGAAGCAACATCGACTTCTGGTTTGAAGAAGAAAGGAGGATGCAAGATCGAGCCTCCTCCACAGATCAACAATGAGTGCATCGAGAAGGCCCTAACCCAACTCAAGGAATCAGTTATGAAAGTTGGGTATCTTCTAAAATGTATTCTTGTGGTTCTTGTTTCCTTTGGTATTGGTTTACTAGTCAAAATGTGATGATGTATTTTCATGTACTAAAAATGAATGATGAAAAAAAGTTAAAGGCTTGCAAAGAAAAATGCACGCGGACAGGATGCGGCCGCGCGCTGGGCACACGGCCACCGCATCCCAGAAATTGTCCGGACACGATCCCATTATCCTATCCAAATGGACAGAATCCGGGTAAAACGGACGTCCGTTTGGGATCGCGCGGTGCGTTGGCCTAATGCTACTAGCACTTGGGAACTGGCGGTACGTTCTCCGGAAGTTAACATGGGTTATCATGGTGAGGTATTACTATGGAATGGATCAACGTAAATCAGCATGCAACCCCATCACCACAGGAGGATCACCAGCACCAGCAGTGCACGTCTACTACACCCTACACCGCAGCCCTGTGCCGTGAGCCAGTGACCCACCGCCGAAGCACTGCACGGAGTACGAGCGCGCACCCGTTGCGCTCCGCGCGCCACCCGCTGCCCCCTCGTGCAACCGGTCGCCCCGACCGAGGTACCCTGGCCCGTCCATCACCCATCGGACGGCGCGCGTACGCCCGGCGCCACCGGTCACGGTCCGCGCGCGGGCCCGCCGGCCCCCGTGAGGAAAGGGACGAATCCTCGTACGACGAGAGGGGGCCCGGCCGGGCGGACAATGACGGGAGCGCCCCTGCACGTGCTCGCCTCACCATCACTCTCTCCGCGGCGGGGGCCCGGCGGGGGCGGGACGGTAATTTCCCCCAGCGCCGGTGATTGGTCCGGCGATTTCCAGCGTTCTCGTGTCACACGTACCGACGTACGCATACGAGGGCCGGGGTGGTTTTTTTAGGCTGGGCTCCTCGGTTGCTGTCTTATTTGCGTTTACACCCCTAGGTTCACGATCACATAATTTGCATGAATGCTTTTGTGAAAATATGAATGCTTAATGTATCTTGACTCGCTTGTTGTGTCTCCTTTCAAAATGGAAAATAAATTTGGAAAAACAACTATCAACTATCTCGAGACACCAAAACCTAATTTATTTGGACACCCTATACCTTTTCTCATGGAAGACTAGCACAACTTGACTATGCTAGTATTTTTCTTGTGTTCAGGTATATCGTAGGCAAGGAAAACAATACTGTAAGTGATGTATAAGATGTCCTATTAAAAAAATTAAGATGTATGATGGTTGTTCACTTATTTTACCCCGTTTATAGGTGTGAACCAAGGGGATACATTTTTTACATGAATAAATGTACAAATAAAGAAAAGAAGAAAAAAAGTCATATGTATAGTATAGATAAGAAAAACTATCTTCGGTGTTGGACTATAATAGTCAAGCGAACAACATGTGTTTTGAGGTGACTCACACATCAATGACAAATGTTAATGCATCTTGACTCGCATGTCGTTTCCACATTCAGGGTGGAAAAGAAGTTTGAGAAAAACAACCATCAACTAGTTATCGACAACACACTAAAACCTCATTTATACCGATGCTCCTATCTTTTTTCATAAAAGACTAGACAAACTTTGTTGTGCGCACATCATCTCTGGTCTGTTTACTTTATTGTGCCAATATCATATTTTTTAAATATTTTAGTGCTTTTGTTTGCCGGTTTGTACCTTGCTTTTGAACTCGATAATGCAAAGGTGAACAACTTGTTGGGGGTGATTCACACGTCGGTGCGAATGCTTAATGCATCTTGACTCACCTGTTGACTCAACTTTCGAGGTGGAAAAGAAATTTGAAGTAAAGATAACAACCATCCACTATCAATGAGACATGGGAACCTAAATTTATTTTGACAATCCTACCTTTTCTCGTAGAAGGCTAGCAAGACTTGACCACGCTAGCATTTTTCTTGTGCTTCATGCACATCGTGTTAGGTGTGTTTATTGTACTCCATTAGGGATTCTTACTTTGCAACACTTTTGACCCCCGATAAGATAAGGCCAACTTTTTTTTTGAGGGTAAGACAAGGCCATCTTAGTATGGGTTTTGACTATGTGCCAAGTGTAAGACTAGGGTAGCTAAGCTAGCAATATGGGGCAGTGACTCGTAAGCAATAGACAAAGTTAGTTCGATGCATCTTGACTCATCACTTCCGTGCTCGAGGTGAAACGGAAAGTTGAAATCACGCCACATCTTGTCTTATGTAGATCACCCTCTAGCGAAAACATTTATTACGCCGATGTTTGATAGTAGTCTGGTCTCTACAAAAAGTATCTCTACTCATTTATTTGTGTATCATAAAGTATGTGTGAAAAGCTTGACTCAGTATACAAGTGATTAAGAGGTAGAAAGCCTATGTTTGAATGTTTCAGTTCATACAATTGAAGCCCATGCAAAGGGGCAAACTAGGAACAAAAATGGCAAGTACTCCCTCCGTTCGGAATTACTCGTCGAAGAAATGAATGTATTTAGATGTATTTTAATTATAGATACATCCATTTTCGTGACAAGTATTTTCGAACGGAGGGAGTAATACAAAGCCTAAACTTAAATATTCTTTTACATAGACACACCCAATCACAGATTGTGTGTGTGTGTAGAAAAAGGAGTTGAAGTTCCCAGAGCGGCAAAAAACGCAATTCAAGCTCTTGCGAGGGGGCAAAGCAGAAAAGGAAATTCATCCGATCGTTTTTTTACACCCGCTACGAGAAGAGAGAGAACCTCTTCCCTCCTCCGCCGCTGCACACTGAAACCGGAAGGGAAAAAAAAGAAAAGAAATTCGCACCACTTCTCGGCCTCCGCTCCCTCGATCCAGCCATGGCCGCCTAGCCCGCCCGCCCCGCCCCGCTAGGGTTCCGCCCGCGCCGACGCGCCCTCCGCCTCCGCGGCCGCGCCCCCAGCTCCCGTCCCGTGGCCGCGGCGTCCGATTCGGCCGCCGGGTGGGGTCCGGTCCGGCCGCCGCGGTGTCTGCTCTGGCCTGCCGCCGTGGTGCCTGGCCCTGAGCGCGCGCGAGCAATGGCGATTCGAGGGTACGAGTGGTCGCGGTTCTCGGTGAGCGGCGAGCTGTGCCTCCGCGAGCCGCGCTACTTCTGCTTCCTCCTGAGTTGAATGAGCTCGGGCCGGCTGCCTTCCTCGGTTTCTCCGTGCTCGCTGGGATCGGGTCTGGAGCGGTGAGCTGCGCTGCTGGGTTGGCGCTTCTCTCCTGTTCACCGGGGAGGAGGATTTGGATCGGTGGTGAGCGGGCGCTCGCCCCTGCCCGGCTTGGAGGTTCGTTGGAGTGGCTGGGATTTGGGGCGCGCTGAGGTGAGTCGGCAATGGCGAGGGTTTGCCTGGGCGGCTCGGGCTTCGGTTAGGGCCTGCTTCAAGCTGAGCCGGCTGCTGCTGCGTAGCGGAGGGGCAATAACAGGTTGGACGAAGCAGCGGCGGAGGATGGAGGAGCTGTTCCGGGCGCACAGGGAGAAGTCAGGCGTTGCTGCTGGGAGCGCGGCGCAGCTCTGAGCAGCGGCTGCTTCGTGTCCCCGCCGCATCACATCACGGCGGAGCTGGGTGTTCTTGGCGTCGGTCGCATCCCTGGATGGAGAGAAAGCTCTCCATGTCCGAGATGCCGCAGTCCCTCCCGGAAAACGATGGTACATCTCGTCTCACGGCCCCCTCATTAATTCAGCTGTTCAATTCTCAACTTGTACTTCTGTCTGCATCTCCAGTAGATTATGGATCGTGGAATGTGCTGATCGTGCGTGCACTTGAACCACCGAAGATGCTAAAGAAATATGCAAATTCAGCTTGCTTGTGTTTGTGCATGATTGATCGCATACATGTAGCTCCCTTGCTGGCCTGCACAAACAAATGCTTTGCATTGGTTGCTTTTATTTATTCATTCATCCTTCTCATGTTATGGCATTATTGTCACTCACTGTGCCTCCTCCCCGTCGCGACTTCTTGTCTATGTCCAAGTACGAATAGTAGCTTCACATGAGCTTTGCTTTCTGGTGGTTTCTGTTCGCTCATGTGTGCTTGGCACTTTTCAGGGGAACAAAGGTGTCTGAACTCGGAGCTATGGCATGCATGCGCTGGGCCCCTTGTGTCTCTGCCCGCGGTTGGAAGCCGGGTCATCTATTTTCCACAGGGCCATAGTGAGCAGGTCCGTAGGTTTTACTATCAGTTTGTACAACCAATATATATTATGTCTTTCAAAAAGATAAAGATAAAGATAAAGTATAGTTTGTGCCTGTGCCACATTAGTGCTCAGGAGGTTCTTATTCTTTGCATAATGCAGCATGTAAGCATCATACGGTTTGCGATTCTACTGAGACATAGCTTTAGTGAAATATCAAAGGTGTCATTATATGAAGAATAAGTTTTGTTGCATGGATGTTGCCCAATTACAGTTTTCTAAAGTCATTTTTAGTGCAGTTCTCTAAAGTGATTTTACTTTTGTGTAGGTTGCCGCATCAACTAATAAGGAGGTTGATGCTCAAATCCCTAATTATCCAAATCTCCCCCCTCAGTTGATCTGCCAGCTTCATAATGTCACCATGCATGTAAGTTTACACTTCACACGCTGAAGGGACCATCATGTAGTTTTTTAAGAGGTGCCCTGAGACCATTTCTTGATGCTAACGCAGGCTGATGCAGAGACTGATGAAGTTTATGCCCAAATGACACTGCAGCCCTTGAGCCCGGTATTAATCACATTTCTCTGTTCTTCTAGCCAGGATTCTGATAACAGGTTATATGGGTTAAAATATTGAAATAATTATGTATTCATCACGATGTTCCAATGACAGGAAGAGCAAAAGGAGCCTTTTCTTCCAATCGAGTTAGGTGCTGCTAGCAAGCAGCCGACTAATTACTTCTGCAAGACTTTGACTGCAAGTGATACAAGTACACATGGCGGATTTTCTGTTCCTCGCCGTTCTGCTGAGAAAGTCTTCCCTCCATTGGTAACGTCCACTGAAATTTAGTTTGTTTTTCTCAATACATTTATAAGAAAGGGTCATATTCTGTGCATTTTAAATTGGGTTAGTTAGATAAATGACACGTTCAATTTTCTACAGGATTTTTCTCTGCAGCCTCCATGCCAGGAGCTCATTGCAAAAGATCTGCATGATAATGAATGGAAATTTCGCCACATATTCCGTGGTATGTACTCAAGTTGTCTCAGATTATGTGCAGCATGTGCATAGATGATAATGATTAGTATTGATCAAGTAGAAGCTTAGTTTATAAGAAACCTAGAAAGACTAACAAAAAGTATATTTTGCAACTTTTAGATGAGAAGGTTCTAGCACTTTCTTGTTAATCCCTAGAATTGTTCATTTCCTTCTGCCAGCTGGACTTAGTGGGGTTTTGCTTGGCCGGGGAATTTCTTTGGAAAACATTGTAATGATAATACTCCTTCATCTTTTATAGTTCCCATGTTGTAGAGTTCTTGATGTATTTAATTTTGTTCTAATATTGGACTCTTGGTTGGCCAGTCTCTTAGCCCTTTGCACGTGTTATGCAGGTCAGCCGAAAAGGCATCTCCTGACTACAGGTTGGAGTGTCTTTGTAAGTGCAAAGCGACTAGTAGCAGGGGATTCTGTTATTTTCATCTGGTACCGACTACTTTATTTCCTAACCAATTTTACGCTGTTACCCTAGTTGTTCGTGTTACACCTTGATCACACATAACACTTTTCCATGTTTCCAGGAATGATAATAACCAACTTCTCTTGGGGATTCGTCATGCAAATCGTCCTCAGACAATTATGCCGTCTTCTGTGCTGTCAAGCGACAGCATGCATATAGGTCTTCTTGCAGCAGCAGCTCATGCTGCGGCCACAAACAGCCGTTTCACTATTTTCTATAACCCCCGGTATATTCATCACAATCCCAATTCAACTAATAGATAGCTCTATTTCTATGTCTAATTAACATCTTTGTCTTTTATCAGGGCTAGCCCTTCTGAGTTCATCATCCCACTGGCTAAGTATGTCAAATCTGTTTACCACACACGTGTGTCTGTTGGAATGCGGTTTAGAATGCTTTTTGAGACAGAGGAGTCAAGTGTCAGACGGTAAGTCAAACATTGAACTGAGCAACAGCATGAAAACTGTGAGCTGACAGTTTGTTCTTCTTTCAGATACATGGGTACAATCACAACCATAAGTGATCTTGACTCTGTGCGTTGGCCAAATTCACATTGGCGTTCTGTGAAGGTAACTAGTCATGATACCAGAGTACCTGCTGTTATCTTGTTTCGTTATTCCTCAACCTATTAACTCTGTTGCCGCATGCTTCACAGTTTCTTTTGTGAGAACATGTTCAACCTTAAATGGTAATGGCTGACATTTTATTTGTTTTAGGTTGGTTGGGACGAGTCTACCGCTGGTGAGAAACAACCTAGAGTGTCACTCTGGGAGATTGAGCCATTGACAACCTTTCCTATGTATCCAACTGCTTTTCCTTTAAGGCTGAAGCGTCCATGGGCTTCAGGGCTGCCTTCTATGCATGGCATGTTCAATGGTAGGCTGATCAATGTGACAAGAATAGCAGTATACGTGGTTCTGCTTTTGTACAATTCAACCAGGTGTTCTTTTAATCATGTTCTGTTCTGTATCATATGCGCAGGTGTCAAGAATGATGATTTTGCTCGTTATTCTTCTCTCATGTGGCTCGGAGATGGGGATAGAGGGGCTCAGTCGTTGAACTTCCAGGGAGTTGGAGCGTCACCTTGGCTTCAGCCAAGAATAGATTCTCCGTTGCTGGGTCTTAAGCCAGACACATACCAGCAAATGGCTGCAGCAGCACTGGAAGAAATTAGGACCGGGGATCCTTCGAAACAGTCCTCAGCTCTCTTGCAATTCCAACAGACTCAGAATCCGAACGGTGGGTTGAATTCTGTGTATGCCAATCATGTTCTGCAGCAGATGCAGTACCAGGCTCAGCAGTCGTCTCTGCAGACTGTTCAGCACGGCCATAGTCAGTACAGTGGTAATCCTGGGTTTCTTCAAAGCCAGTTTCAGCAGCTGCATTTGCATAATCCTCCGGCACCGCCGCAGCAAGGGTATCAGGTTATACAACAATCTCACCAGGAGATGCAACAGCAGCTTTCATCTGGTTGTCGTCGTATTTCCGATGTAGATTCTAGCATGCCTGGTTCTGAGTCTGCTTCGCAGTCACAATCTTCATTCTACCAGCAGAATCTCTTAGAAGGAAACAATGATCCATCGTTGCATCTGCACAATGGTTTTCGTAACTTCTCTAGCCAAGATTCCTCAAACCTTGTTAGTTTGCCTCGAACTGACCAATTAATGGCGCCGGAGGGATGGCCTTCAAAGAGGTTGGCTGTGGAACCCCTTGGTCATATTGAATCTCGGTCTATGCAACCCAAACATGAGAACATAAATCACCAGAGTAATATGTCCCACTTTGCTGGCACCTTGGCGCCACAGTCAGCAAGAGACTCATCCAGTGTCCAGGCTTATGGTGCAAATGCTGACAACCAGTTTCTGTCATCAACATTTGCATTCCAGGACGGAATGGCAGGTGCAAGGGGTGGCAGCAGCAGCGGAACTGTTTCTATGGCCATACCTTTGTTGAGGTATAGTGGCGAAGATTTGCCACCCGCGGACACCTTAGCAACTTCCAGTTGTTTAGGCGAATCGGGAACCTTCAACTCTCTTGATAATATGTGTGGTGTAAACCCATCACAAGATGGAACCTTTGTGAAGGTATGCGTTTTCTACTTATGTATTATGTTCTTTAAATTCTTCAATGCACATTCTTCAAAGTGGATCTGATGAATTAAGAGGCAATATGGATCGGTAATGTGGATCTGATGACTTTAAGAGGTAAAAGAGTTCATATGAGGTGGGCTTAGAGGCAAAGAGTTCATATCAATTACTGTACTTAAAGTTTTGTGTGAAGTCTTACAATATCTTGAGCACAATTGTTGGGTTGCTAATGACACCATTTTGATGAGTGCCAACACACAGTTACCAGCTAATCCATCTTATTATGCATAGTTCTTCTGCATTGCATGAACTGAAGGCTGAATACTTTTGATATTGGTTTTATTAGGTTTACAAATCAGGGTCCCCTGGAAGATCGCTCGACATCACCAAATTCAGCAGCTACTACGAGTTACGTAGTGAGCTGGAGCATCTATTTGGCCTCGAAGGCCAACTGGAGGACCCCGTAAGATCAGGCTGGCAGCTTGTATTCGTCGACCGAGAAAATGATATTCTTCTCGTCGGCGACGACCCATGGCAGTAAGTGACCTAGAAAAACCATCTCCGGTTGTATGCACATACAATAAATTCGATCTCCTCTTCATGCATAACATCTTCGAATGCCATTCTTTCCCAGGGAGTTTGTGAATAGCGTAGGGTGCATCAAGATACTCTCGCAGCAGGAGGTGCAGCAGATGGTCCGCGGCGGCGAGGGCCTTGTGTCTTCTGCACCTGGAGCGAGGATGGCGCAGGGCAACGTCTGCGACGGTTATTCTGGGGGCCACGACCTGCAGAATCTCACCGGCAACATGGCCTCCGTACCGCCGCTGGACTACTGAAACGGAGAAGACCGGAGTCCAGAACTAAAACCCAGCACCCCAGGACCGCAGCATCACGTTATCGCGACGTGTTCGGTTCACCAAACCCTAGCTAGTCCGCTCCTCGCCATGAACTTTTATTAGTCAATAATATAGTTAGACGGTCTACCAACATCATTCCGGTCATGGATGTGTTGTATGATCGCTGCTTCGGCTCTATGATAGCCCAGTCCCGGAATGGCAGACAAGAACCGCTCTTATGAATGTGAGGCAGTATGGTACCGTGGAAGTGACCACCTTATTATGTAGCAATATGTATGACCTAAAACCGAGTATTCCGACTGGAGACCTAGAACTGATTATCCCGGCTGGAGCCTCGACTTTTCGCCGTGAACAAAGTGTGGTTGATCCGCCGTGTTGGGAGTCAAAGATTATGTTCTGTTTGTGAGCTTTGACCTGTAAAGTTGCATGGGGTGGTTGGTAGATATGCTGGACCGGATCATGATTCCATGCGTGCCAAAGTGCAGACCATGGGGATACCAACTTTTTGAGAGGCCATCCGCTTCCCTCTGCTTGGTACGTCAAAAGTTTTGTTCACAAGAAATAACCGTCTTGTCTCAAAAAATATATAAAGAAATAACTGTCGAACATAAGTGTTAAAAGTTTGTGGTTATTTGGTAATCTGAGATTCTGAGGTGTTTCTCTTGTCTTCAAATGGCTCTCTTGGAATGGGCTTTCATTCTGCTTTATAAATAAGCAACCACCATGTCAGTACATAAAAGACAAAAGTGCAAGCTAGAAGTGCAAAGAATGTATTAAATTTTACCTTGATACCCGTAATATGCGTTTGTGGTTTTGTATATAACAAAACTTCCTCAGAGCCAAAAAAATCAGCAGGCTAGAGGGAGATCACCAAGCATGCCGCCGCCTGAGGCAAGAAAGCTACAAATTTAAACACAATTATGAATAGTCCATAGGGTCCAAGTCATCATCGCAAACACTAACCATCTGGGCAAGTTTCGGGAGGCTCGAGTCAACCACACCAGCAGGAGGTGCATTGTCTCATTTGCCTACATAGTGAGTGCCATCGCTGCAAGAAAGCTACAAATTTGAACACAAAGACAAAAAGCATGTCACAGAAAGACCCGCTTGACAACCATCTTGTTACGCGTAGTTACCAAAAAGGCTTTCGCCCTGTTTTATATATAAAGCTACGACCAGAGATACAAATCCGGATACAACACGCCACCATCCTACAGAACACACACATCCAAGGCAAGATACAAGGGTGCCGATGCACCGCAACACTACCTAATTGACCACCAAGCATACTACAGATGAGCCAAAAGGAACTACTTGGGGCTGACGAGGACCTCCTGAGACCTAGCCACCAAGAAGTGAAGCGGGACAGTGACGAAGCATGGACTCCAAGGCGGTGCCTTCAAGAAGGGCACGACACCGACAGTCGCAAGTCGCCATCGCCCGACCCCGAGGATCAAGTTTTCACCCGGAGCAACGTGGAGAGAAGAGAACACCACGACGGAGCCTTTCATGAAGGAAACGACGCCCGTGGCCGCCGCCACCGTCGGCCGGAAAAGACCGGGCAAGTTATGCACTTTGGTGTTAACCCTCCGCCAAACCACCATGCTACGCCAAACATCACCAACCATGCCACCCGCGTGACCATGGCTGCGCGACCGCACCCAAGACGCGCGCTTCGCCCACGAACACCACATCTCCCGCCACCCTGCATCCAAGCAACTCCGTGAACGCCCAAAGGCCTTGGCTTTGGCCTGACTGGCAGCACCCGCCAATAGAGCAGCCAACAATCGCCCGGCCTCGAACATTGCCAGAACCTCGCCAGAGGGCACACAACCGAGGAAAGGGGGAGGAGGAGCGGACACGTCCGGACCGATGCACCCCCGCACCAGCGACGGGTGGCCCGACATTGGGACCTCCCATCCCTCCTGAGAACTCCCCAACGAACACATCCCGTGTCGCCTCACCGTGGCGGCCGACGTGAGGCCACCAACGAGGCAACGACAGCCTGCCCAACCATCGACAAGGAGCATGAAGCCACCCCTTGTAGGGTAACGCAGCAGAAAACAAAAAAATTTCGACCTACGCACCAGCCCAGGACCACTATGGAGACTGCATACATGGTTTGATCTTTTTCGTTACTGACTCGTGGCGCAGCGGGAAGTAGAGTCGATGACGATCAGCGGTGCAGATCCCCGCAGCTAGGATTTACAACCTCCCAACCGTGAGGATGTATACCCTCATCTGCTCCTCAAACAACCCTCTGAGAGGCGGTCGAACAACCCCCCCGAACGGTGTCGCGGACAGCCCTTCGGGAGGACCTTCGAAACTCGAACGGTCACTCAGACAGCCCTTCGGGAGGACCTTCAAAACTCGGACGGTCACACGGACAGCCCTTCGGGAGGCACTCACGAACTAAGACCGAAACTACGATCACTCTACAGAGTTGCACACATACGGTGTCATCTATCCGGCAGGGCTTCGCCGTCCAGAACTAGTTCCTGCCGGAACCCAGACAACCTTTCGGCTCTACGAAACTCTTTTCGTGGGAGGGAGAGAAGAAGCTAGATCATTGCATGGCACTTGTATGTGAGAATGGATGAGGTTTGAGCAGCCCCCTCACCTCCTATTTATAGGGAAACCAAGGGGTAGGATGGGTAATCTGAAATACCAAAAGTGCCCCCACTTTATGTCACACACAAAGGGTATAAAAGGCATAAAGGGATGACAAGTGGAGCCCCATAGAGGAGCTGCAACCTCCAATGTCCCACCTTCATGGGGGCCCTAGAAAGGAGGTCCCTTGATCCCCAAGTCCTTCTAGAAGCCTTTTGGGAAAAGCCCCAAAAGGTGGCTTTCCATAAATATCCCAAAAAGTACTTTCACTATTCACGACACATTTTTCAGCGTCCGTTCGAACTGAAAATATTTATGTGGGCTTAGAACATTTCCAATACCGACCAAAATTATTTTCAACGCGCTCCGAAACAATTCCGATTTAGTGATTTTCATCTGCGAAAAGCATCTGAAGTGGTTCTGGCAGCTCCGGAGCATATCCGGTTATTATCCTAGAAAGCTTCCAGAATGATTCTGGCACCCTCCAAGAATTATCAGGCATGTGCCAAAACCAATTTGACTTAATGGTATCCCCTGAAACAACTTTTCAGTTTCATTGAAACTCATCCGATGACCTCTCTCTGCGGAACCTTTTCCGCTGTCCGAAACTTTTTCGGTGTCCGAAACTTTTTTGATGATTTTCTCTCAGACTCCTTGTCTAGTATTCAGCAGATAGATGACCCTTAAGCGTGTGACCCTATAGGTTTGGTGAAGTATAGACATGACCGGAACCCTTTCCGATCAATGATCAACATCGGAGCCGTGGACACCCATATTGATCCCTATACCCACACAAATGAATATTCGAGTGAACCTCCAGTTGTCTTGTCGTGTGCTATTCCTGTTGCTTCGTGATATGTTACAAATACCCGAGGTGAGACATGTTGGCATTCTCGTGGATCAACAACTTGTCCACTATGCTAGTTACCTCGTTAGCGGTATTGTTCTCTTTTCTCGTTACAGTGTTCCGGCATCCCCGTGATCAAATCACAAAGTGTCTGGACAGACAATGATGGATACCGTAACACCGAAAGGGCCAATAGATATCTCTCCATCATCGGAGGAGCAAATCCCAATCTTGAGCTATCAAGTTACTTGACATACTTTCCCATGAACCCGTAAGCCGCCGTAATAGCCACCCATTTACGGATGACGTTTAACAAACCGCAAAGTTCATGAAGCAAGCATGAAGAAACTCGATACTCTCATGGTCTAAGGAATCATGCAAACATCAACCATCTCTGTGTTATTTACCATTAACTTGTGACGAATGAATCTCATAGCATAACATCAATCCGGGTCGATTCAACACAAATGTTCTCTTAACATTGTGCCCTCAAAGTTGTTGGCATAGACATGCCCATGATCAGGAAAACGAAACCATCATGCAACACTTGATCTAGTCTTAGAGGCCAAACTAGGAATACTTCTTACCGTTTATTATTCCACACGTGCATATGAGTCTTCCTCCGAGCCTCGTGGATGTTGCAGACTCGAGAATCATTGCAGTTATAGCATGGAACATAAACATAATTATGAACTCGGAGATAAATAGTATCATTTATTATTGCCTCTAGGGCATATCTCCTACAGACTCCCACTTGCACTAGAGTCAATAATCTAGTTAATGCTAATGCACTTTACACCTATGGCATACCGGTGTAAAAAATGCTTCGCATGTGGTATAGCCTGATGTCCATCGGATCTGACGACTTCAGCTTTGTGTGTATCTTTGCATATCCTCACATTTTCACGCTTTCACAAAATTCATATTTTGTGTGGACTTGGCTTTTATGTATGTGAATCACAGGTCGAACCTGGATTCCTCAGACTAAGTTATGGAGAAACTACCTGCAGTAGTGTCCCATTGACAAAAGCCATCTTGGAACCATACTAAGTTCATGAATGAACTATATGATTCAACATCTTGTTTGTCGCTTCTAAAGCGTCAACATACTTAGTCATTTGTTACAGAATTCACCACAATATCCTGTTGGGAACAATTTCCAACTACCATGCTACCATATTGTGTATTACACAAAACCCTTAACTTAAATCGAAAATCGCATGGAGAAAAGATGAAGACTATATCGATGTAACATTTTACAACGAACTCTTCATGATCTCCGCTTGCGAGAAAACATATCATCAGTACTTACTCTAGTACTCAATGACATCTTTCACTGTTGTCCCACGATCAGTACTTTGATCACTTTAGTATCCATACTCGCAACACCTTGGGAGTATCGGACATATCTGGTTGTTTTATATACCATGGAATACATGATAAATCCAAACACAAGAGTGTGTGGAATCTTCATCATGTATTTTGATCATCAGTGTTTTGGGACACCGATTCTTGCAAAAAC